CACTTTCACAGATATAATGAAGAATATAAGAAAAAAAGTGCAGACAAATTTGGGCGAGTCGGGTGGAGAATAGGTGAAACTGATTCTCGGGTTGCTATTTGCTTTAATGTCACAAAACACATTTTGCAACTAATGCAAAACATTTTCGTGGAATTCATTACTCTATAATAAGTACTGTGAAACTGAGAGAACATTACTTTTCCTGAAGGTAATCCAATAGCTTGTAATGCGTGTTCTACTTTCTTGCGGTCATCTTTACTATTTGCTAACTTCTTAATGATGCTGTGAATTGAAAATAGATGATGCTGTATTTGCAGAGCAGATATAATTACAAATGAATAATCTGATTATGAGCAAACTCCTTTTTTATTGTTGTTTACACCTCAATATAAAATGATAGCAACAAGCTATGCATGGCAGTCCCCGTTAGTTATCAAGTTTATTAATAGTTTTGTTTATACAGTAGTAATATACATGTAGTTGGAACATAAACAAATATGAGAGAGATATGGATTCAGAAGCTGATGCTTGGTTATGATGAATTTTTAAAACGATTGACATTCAGTCTTCTTGTATCTGATATCAAACCAATACTTGTCCATATTGAGAGATATTGCTCTGCAAGAGCATTAATTAAAACAAAATGGTTACTAGTCGGCTATTTTGAATCTGATCTGAAAAATGATGTGCATCAAGGACCAATAATGTCTAATGCAGTTTGAACAAAATCCATCCATAAACGACCAAAGTCTGGTTGTGGATTGCAGAAATGCTTGATTTTTGATGATTTTTTAGCACAAAAATGGCCACCATTTGGCCATTTTGAATTGGATCATCAAACCAATACATCTGTATATCTATGACATGATGTAAAATGAATATTTATACATTTTCTGGCTGTTTGTATCATAGTTATAATAAAACAAATTATTGGTGATTTTGATGCTGTCACAGTAGATCATGCGAGCACTATCTGCCTCCACAAGACATTGTGTAAAACATGAGAATGCTAGTTAGCAAAAATGATGTTACAGTGCATAGAAGATGTTTGTCTGTCTAATATTGACAACTATTAGGTAGACAAATTTGTATTACAGCTGGAAAATTGTATTCACACTTTGTGACATATGATGAAACATGTTTTTTCATAAATTATTACCGGGTAATAATAATTAAATTGAAATGTGGACTTAAAAAATCTATTTATTGTAAATATCAAACCGATGAAATAGATATTCAAACAAACATAAAGAGCACATGAAATGTAACAATTTCATACAACCAAAATATATATGAATACCCAGCAGGAGAAATTGCTCTTTCCAAAATTACAACCAACAAATTAATACAAATAAAGCCATGAAAACTGCAAAATTTGGGGTATTTTTTTTAAATATTGGTTTGGGGGGATAATCACAAATAGATTGGATACTTTGACAGTAGTCAGACAGAATGATGTGCAGATAACAAGACTGATCCAAATATTTTGATCTAACCATTGAGACCATTTTATGCTAAAATGTAGTGCACATTTG